ACTGGGCCGAAGGTTCACCTTCCAACAAGACAATGACCCTAAGCACACAGCTAAAATAACGAAGGAGTGGCTTCACAACAACTCTGTGACTGTTCTTGAATGGCCCAGCCAGAGCCCCGACTTAAACCCAATTGAGCATCTTTGGAGAGACCTGAAAATGGCTGTCCACCAACGTTTACCATCCCACCTGACAGAACTGGAGAGGATCTGCAAGGAGGAATGGCAGAGGATCCCCAAATGCAGGTGTGAAAAACTTGTTGCATCATTCCCAAAAAGACTCATGGCTGTATTAGCTCAAAAGGTGCTTCTACTAAATACTGAGCAAAGGGTCTGAATACTTATGACCATGTGATATTTCAATGTTTCTTTTTTAATAAATCTGCAAAAATGTCAAAAATTCTGTGTTTTTCTGTCAATATGGGGTGTTGTGTGTACATTAATGAGGAAAAAAATGAACTTAAATGATTTTAGCATATGGCTGCAATATAACAAAGAGTGAAAAATTTAAGGGGGTCTCAATACTTTCCGTACCCACTGTATCATTTAAGAGTCACAGGAATTTAGCTTAGGCAATACTGAGCTGCCCTCTAACCTCAGAGTGAGTTTTTTATTTCCCATATCATCTGCTTTATGAGCAGCCAACAGCATAAACATCCCCCTGTGTGGGCTTTAAATATACAGTGTGATGTAAATAAACTAGAAAACAAACAACTGGGTGGTAGATGCATGAAGAGATAGAGTTCTACACATTAGAAGAGGAAGTTAAATGATTATGTAAAAGAACTAAATAATTAACACATAAGGAGAGTGAATAAACAAAATCAAAGTCATTTATATAAACACTCAAAGTGAACCTAAAGAAAACCAACCATGCCCCAAATACATTTAAGACCTGACACGCCCAGCAACTTGATGCCACCACTCCCACCAACACAAAGGCTTTGTTTGCACATGCTGTCCTGTCCCTGAAGCAGTGTGACAGACTGAAATGGAAGACACACCCCCACTTCAAAGTGAGCAGACGCAATAAGACACACCTGAGACACACAAAACAAGAAGGCAAAAAAATGACAAGTGGTGAACTATGACAACACACACACACACACACACTGACTGAACATCTAGTGTAATGGATGAACTGCGATGTGAAAAAGTAAAATGACTATGTCCTACATCAACATGACTCATCATGTCTGGGGGATACCTTCTTTTATTTCCCAGCTGTTTTCAGCCATTCACTATCTAATCACAATCTAGCTCTACTTTTACATAACGACAGGTAAGGTGGCTAGAATTCAAACAGACTCTGGCCTATCTCAAAGGTCTATTGAAGCTATAAAAAGCATTTAGCAACCTTCCCTTTTTGCACATATTACTTAAAATGAACTTTGATGTAACAAACTTTCTGGTGTATTTGAGTTTTAAACTGACATTACGCAAATTGTAGCTGTGAACATTAACATTTCCCAACATTAACAATTTTCTGTGAAACTAATTTTTATCTAATTTTTCTGTTTGTCTTAAAAAGTCAGGTTATACAACAGGATTGTGTAATTAGTGTAGTTTTCTTTTGGTCTTTCAACTGCTTAATCGCTGACAGGTGCAGTCCACACACTGAGCTTCCACGGCCTCACATCATATAACCAGAGTTAATATCTCCAACAAAGACACACTGAGCTGGGATTAGTGGAGAGTCTTTCTATTCCTCTCACAGATGTGATCTCTAGATCTGGTATGAGATAGAGTCAGCTGTCCATCCTGAGCCCCAACAGTCCCGTAAACTGTGATGGCTCTGTATAGACTAATTATTCACCGTTCTCTCTACTGTTGTGATGAAGGTGGCTCATATAGCAGCTATCATCTTCATGAAGCTATCATCCACAAAGCAGACATTTTACACACTATGCAGCCCCAACAGAACCACTTACAATCAGAAACCACTGCATGCAGGTAACATTTAGTGTAGCTATACATGCCTACTGAGAAAATGTGCAAATGCAAAGATCAATCATGGGATTTTGCTCATGCAGACTCTCTCACACAAGGGTTTCGACAGGTTGTACAATCTCTGCTGCCACAACAAGTAGAAAGTCAAGGAATGGGATAAATCAACAAATAAATCCATCCCTCCCACCATACATTCTTATCTTGTTTTATTTAAACTAAATTTCTTCTTTAATCCTCTTCCTGATCCTTGCAGCTTGATGGAGGAATTATTCTTCACCATTAGCAAAGTTCATGTCACTCTATTGCTGCCATGTTGTGTATACAGTATGTGTGTGCGTCCTCCTTACCTGGTCCCTGTCACCCGTTTGTAGTTGTCCTCCGAGTACACAGCTAGAATGGACACCCCGGAGCCCATGTTGACCAGCAGCATGGGGAAGGGGTTCTCCAGGGTGCAGGGCTTTTTCACACAGCTCTGGGTGTCTGAGGGGTTCTGGAAGTAGTAGCACTCTGGGTGTCCATTGAAGCCCACCCGGTCGACAAAAAGCAGGCCACGGATCAGGCAGTCCAGCTCATCTAGCTTCAGCAGCTCCAGGTCAGCCATCTTTAGCACAAATGGAGGAGGGATAAAATATGAGACACAATTGTACTGGCTAAACCTTAAGTAAAAGATGATCACATTACTTTGAATGCGTTAGTTTTATTAAGCTAAAAATGCTTTTCAAAGTACTTTATGACCCAAATGTGCACAGGGTCTCAGTTCATGCTGCAGTGCCCAGAGAGAGTTCATCGATCCTGCTGCACTGCAGACAGGGTCAATGAACTGAGGTAAACAGGCACAGAGACAGACACATATCAACTGCAGTCGCTTCAGCAGAAAGATGTAGAAATGTAAGGACAGCTTCAATCAGCTGCAAAGGCGCCCAGGCAGTCAGAAATGTTAAGTCCAATTATATTATAACTGGGGAGAAAAGTTATTGTGTTTTTTGTTTAATGTTTTGGTTAACAGAATGCAGTAACAGATGCCTGTTGTAGTTTTCTACAAATTACTTCATTAAATGTCATTTTGTCAAACCACCAATCCAAAAGTCAAAGATATTTACTTTAGTACAAATGATCTAATTAGGAAAAAGGATCTGTCAAATGTTGTTTTAAAACTGACTTATGATTAAAGACCAAACTCGCTGCAGCTCTATCGGTAAGCCAGTGTTTGCAGTGAGAAAGATTCTGCTGTTGACATTCTTAACTCAGCACTAATCACACGCTGCCTCTGGTCATGCACTTACTGTTCTGAAGTCATTCTCAAACTTGTACGCTCCACCTCCTGTGGCGCACAGTGTCGTGTGCAGGCTGGAGAAGTTCTTGTCACGTCCCATCTGGATAAAATGTGGCATGGCCTGTGTTGGGAAGCGGATGAAGTGCAGGTTTCCCGTCCTGCCGCACATGGTCAGGTCCCTCAGCTCCAGGTGGACATCACGGATGCCCGTTTTACCTGAGTGATAGGGGAACAGTACTGGATTCTGGCCAGATGTGCTCAAGTGCCAACACCCTCTACTAAAAGTGGTGGTTAAAACTGATTGATATTTTCAACAACATAATTCTGAAAAAGACCTCATGACTTTTATGCAACACATGAGTGAGATACACAGTAAAATATGACCTGCCATCCTCTTATTAAAGTGTCCTTGATCATACTGTCCCTGTCTGAGATACACAGGAGTTTGTGGTTAGATGTACCATAGGCGACATTTGAAGTGAGGTAGCGGCGGATAGACTTGAGGTTTTCCACTTCTTCCTGTTCTTCCTCTGCAGTGATATCGACTGGCTCAAAGTACACCAACTTGACCAAGGTGCCACCGATGTCCATACCAAACCAGGGGAAGGCTGAAGAGGAGGAGGAAAAGAATAAAGCAAGGAATTTCTTTACCCCATCAGACATTAGTACATGTAATGCACAAATATAAGCCGTTGCACTTGGGGATGGGAAACATGCAATTTTCTATTTATTTGCATTTAATCAATGAGTTGATCAAAAATAACCGTAAACTAATATAATCCTTTTCAAGCTAAATGTCAAATATGAGAGTACAGTGAATATCTCTGAGTTTCAGACCATTAACCAAACAAAAAAAAAACTATCAAGAAAACATTTGGCAGATTAACTGGTAATGAAAATAACTGGTAACTGCAGCATCAACCTGGAGCCTAAACTGTGACAACCTGCGACATGTGCCTGGTGTGAACAGCTGAAAAGGTGTTCAGAAGATCGGCAGCCTATATGCACATGCTGTTTGAAAGCAGTGTGCCTGATAATACTACTGCACAGAGGGAGGTCTGGAGAGGGCAAACAGTCTGATGTGTAGTTATGTAGTAGATATGTAGTTAGTCGATTAGAACATTGAATTCATCAGTACACACACAAAAAAAAGGCTTCAACCACAACAGCTAGGGGAAAAAATGCTACCACAGCTCAATAAGAGCTGCTGTTGCCATGGAAACAGACAACCCTCCCCTCCATCATCCTCCCTTCTCTCCATCTCTCACACACTCCTTACCCTCCTATTTTCTCCCCCGGCCTCCGTCAGGTTCTTCTTTACATCTCTCTCCCCTCTTCACTACACATTCTCCTTGGCTGCTCACTCAGGTTGTTATTTTCATGTCCCTTCCCTCTGTTCTCCGTTCCCATTCTCTCCAGCTTGTCTTCCCATCTCGTGCCTGCTTCTTCACTCAATTTAAGTAAGATTTACTGACACGGAGAGAAGGGACCTGATTCTGCAAGACGTTTTTAAACACACCACAAAGCAACAACTATGTTTAACTTAAACATACATTCTGCCACGTCCCCTCTCACCTACTGACAACATGAACGCAGAAGCAAATAAATGTCTTAACATACTAGCGTAACTTTAAAATGGCAGAACATGGTTAATATTCCACTAGCGGCCAGGTATGTGTCCATATAAAACCAGCAGGTCATGAAGACTATAAAGCCAAAGTTTACAAAGACAGATAATCGACGGGTTCAGAGAAAGAACATTAAACAGGTGCAAGTTCAACTCAAAATGATAACAGTGTCAGAACCGTTCCTGTCTGTCAGTGCTTTGGAGACCTTTCAGCTGTTTATGGTTTGACCTAACACGGACCAGTGTCCGTGCACAGTTAGCTGGATGCCTTCTTTTGTCAAGACATTAGCGAACACAGACTGTGTTGGGATAAAATTTCCACTTAAATAAAAAAATGCAAGTCTCTAATTTGTCCTCAGTGTGTCGGTTTCTCCACCTCAAACATTCTCACGGGAGACAACAAATGTTAATTACAGTGTGGCCATTTCCTTATAGCACCTTTGAGTGTTTGTGGTTTCAGATAACAAGTGTAAACTCCATTCACCGCAGGACAAAAAGGGGTAGACTGCTGTGTGAGAGTTTCTCTCATTCTTTAAATACAGTGCAATGCGTGCACAAAAATAGACATAAGTATGCTTCTTTGTAGCATATAGCATGACATGGCTAAAGGGTGAGGAACATTCTTTTTAAAATTTTGGATTAGGGACAAATATTGAGTGAGTTTTTTCCCCAGTGAAGAAATACTTGGAACAAGTGTAACAGAATTACAGCAGCCTTATTTTACTGTATGTAACTAACTGGTGTAGCTGAGTGCAATTTAATAATAATCACAAGCTTATAACGGAACCGCAGATGTGCTCTAGATGTACGAAGCAATTTGTCAGGCTCTCCCATTTGTCTACTTGACGTTTATTGACTGCAGTTCTCTAGTGATCAATCCCTTGTGCAGTGGAAAAAGAAAAAACACCAAATTAATGCATGATGCCAGTGAAACATTGCTACTTCGCTGTCACTGATGTCAAGAAACATGGCCGCACCAATTGAAAAGACTGGCCTACAAAAAAACGTGGTGCTTCAGCAAATCCTCTAAACGTCTATGTGATCAGGGCGTTTAAATCCATCATTTAAATGTTGCTGCCTGAAGGCCAACAGTAAGGCGTCGCTGCTGGATGCTGTTAAACACCCACCCCCTTCCAGTGGGTGTCCAATAGTCCTCACAGGTGTCCACTTGTCCAGGGTTTCTATTTAAAGAGCAAACACACACTGCGTCCTCTCACAGGTTAGAATGACACATATCAGGGTCAAGGGAACGAGGAGTATTTATGTCCATGTGAGTTTTAAGTGTCTTAACTAACACACCTTACAACACGTGCATACATGGTACATTCAGTACGTGTGTGTCCAGTCGGTCTTGAATTACAAAGTAGAAGGTCTCAAATATAGTTGTTTGCCCCATGGTCATGGTTTCACCTGGATTATCTGCAGCATTCATTTCTATTATATTTGTTGTTGTTGAACCTTTAATCTCAGTTTCACAGAGAGGGTTGTATCTGTTACTACATTGTGCAGAGAGCACATGACAAGAACAACATGTCTGTGTGATAAGACAAGACACCAGCTGAACACTGTGTGTACACAGCGGATACAATAATAAACACTCATTATTTGGTGTAACATCACAGGAAGTTCTGTCCTCTGTTATTCTCTTTATTGATTCATTGCGTCACTACTACTGCTCTCACAGTAATACCGCCACTACTACTGCTCTAATGACTACATCTTTTAGAATTAGAGTTGCTACAATAAACCTGTTACGATTATAATCCATAAGTCAACTGACAGAAAATTAACAGGTAATTTTATATATTAATCACTTCAGTGATTTTACAAGGATAAACGCCAATTATTCGCCGGTCCAGGTCCTCTATTGTGAGCACTTGCAGCTGTTCTTGTCTGAAATGATAGTAAACTCAATTACAGCTGCAGGTAACGATTACTTTCATTACTGATTAATCTGCTTGTTTTGTCCAGTCACTCACTCTCACTCACTCATTTTCTACCGCTTAGTCCCTGAACGGGGTCACGGGGGGCCCGGAGCCAATCCCGGCCGGCAATCGGGCGAAGGTGGGGTACACCCTGGACAGGTCGCCAATCCATCGCAGGGCTAACACATAGACGCACAACCACACACGCGCACATGCACTCCTATGGACAATTTAGAGACACCAATCAACCTAAGCTGCATGTCTTTGGACTGTGGGAGGAAGCCGGAGTACCCGGAAAGAACCCATGCAAGCACGGGGAGAACATGCAAACTCCTTTGTCCAGTCAAACAAAAAAATAAATAAATAAATAAAAATCTGAGGATACTCGACTGACAATGGATGTCAAATAAAGAAAAGCAGCATTTCATCATCACATATGAGATACTGAAATACTACAGTAATAAATCCACACAAACAGGTTAACATGCAAATCACAGAGTGAGATTGTTACATCTAAAAAGAATATCTGTCTACTATCAGAAGCAAAAGAACATGAGGTCAGATGTCTCTTAACAGATACAGGTTTGTGCAGGTTTCCACATAAAAGGAGGAGTTTTGGTTGGTTTTCAGGTGTGCCACAGATCAAACAATGTACCTCATTTTTATTGACGTTACCTCTGACACACACTCCTACTGAAACCTGTTAGCCAACCCTGTTCACCATCCATCTGCATCACAGTAGTAGAACAATGACTCAACCTGTGACAGACATCTTTGAAAAACGTGTTTTTATGTGAGCTAATTATTATTAAGTCACCACACTTATGCAGGCTTTAACTTCTGGCGATTTGGTGCGCTTTAGCCCTGAATGAAAAGTTCTTCTATTTAAAATCTCTCAGTCAAAAAAAACAGTCACACAATATGGTTCAAGTCACAACAAAAGCCTAAAAAACTGAGACCAAACATAGCAGGCTGTATATAAAAACTGGACAAACCCGCCATGATGTCACCCACTGGTTTTCTGAAGAGCGCGTTTGAAGCTGAAGTCTGGTTGCCACCATATTGACAGCGCTTCACTCTGCCTGCTATGTCTAATCCAAAAACGGGCAAAGAAATGGAGCGTAAGTGGAGCTGATGCAGGTTGAATGGGTGAAATAAAGCTAGCCAACAATGGCGGGACCTCTCGCCTGTCACTCAAAGCGGCCATGGTCTTAATTATGCATAATTTTGGTCTCAATATAATTTAGACAGACGAGTTATAAGAAAAATCACACCCCATACAGTTGTCTTGGAAGGGGAAATTAGCTATAGAGACCAAAACTGTTTTTTGTACCAGGCTATAAACATGTTTATTTCTGCTGTACAGGTGGGAATTTTAATATCGGGTCTATGGGAATTGACTCCTCAAGTAGCTTCAGTTCTCAGCCCCAGAGGCTGCTGCTGGACATGAACCTGACTGTTCTGCACACTCATTTCTATAAAAACTCAGGCAGCAACCACTGCTGGCCTTACAAATAAACATATTAGTGCTGTTTTGACTCACTGTGGCCAGAGGCAGTTGATACTTTATGTAAAAATTGTGGTACTTATACACAGGATGAGGCGCAGCTCTCTTTCCAGCTATAACACAAAATACATTTCGGCATAACAGTGCTGTTGCAGTGTGATGTAATCTGAACTGTACTCCTTTCACTGGTGTTTATGCATCTCTTTATCAAGTGTTTTGTTACAAGCTGTTTTGTTACTAAAAACCCTCGGCGTACTGTATACTGGCAATAATATATCGCACAAAAAGTCCTGAACTTTGTGTTTTTATTTTAAGGTTACCCCACAGAGTAGGTTTGATGGGTTGACAAGCCTAAATTGTTTGCCCATACAATCTCTATACGTGCACATTTCCTGTCTCCATTTTTCCTATTTTCATGGTTTTTGTTCTGTGTTGAAACATGACACGCATCTATTCTAGGAGACACTCAATGAAAATATCTGCCAAGTTGCAAACAAGGGGCACTGCAGGCAAAGTTACCCTAAAGTAACCCTGACCTTTTCAACAGAG